TGCATTGCCACTCTTTTGTATAGCTTTGGACAAGTCACTTTGCCTCTCTGTTCCTCAGTTTCCTCAACTGGGAAGGAAGATATTAATAGTACCTGCTGTTAATATCAGACATGGGGCTGCTGCAAGGATTAAATGAGATCATTTATTTACAGCACTTAAAACTGTACCGATACAGGTGCAGCTGCTGTGGAAAACAGTATGGAGGTTTCTCAAAAAAATAAAAATAGAACTACCATATGACCCAGCAATTCCACTCCTGGGTATATATCAAAAAAAAAAAAAAAAAGCCCCAAAACACTACTTCAAAAGGATACATGCACCTCAGTGTTCATAGCAGCATTATTTACAATTACCGAGATACTGAAGCAATCTAAGTGTCCATTGACAGATGACTAGATAAAGAAGATGTGGTATTTACATGCAATGGAATACTACTCAGCCATAAGAAGAGCAAAATTTTGCAGCAACATGGGTGGACTTGGAGAGCATTATTCTAAGTGAAACAGTCAGACAGAGAAAGACAGATACTATGTGATATCACTTACAGCATCTAAAAAATACAACAAACTAATGAATATAACAAAAAAGAAGCAGACTCCCAGATATAGAAAACAAACTAGTGGTTACTGGCATGGGGGGTGGCGCGCAATAAAAGGGTGAGGGAGTGGGAAGCACAAACTATTGGGTATAAGATAGACTCAAGGGTATATTGTACAACATGGTAAAGATAGCCAGTATTTTGCAATAACTGTAAATGGAAAGTAACCTTTAAAAATTATATTTTAAAAACTGTATTGATACATAGTAAATGTGATGTAAGTGTTGCTAGCATCATCATCATTGTCATCATTATTATAAAAACTGATGAGGTGGGGACAATAGCTGTAGCAAATGTCTTTTGCACACCTGCCAAATTTCAGGCTCTGAGCTAAGATCTTTTCACTGCAACTCATTTAGTTCTTACAACAATCCTGCTTTTATTAACATTGTTTAGAGGAGGAAATAAAAATGTGTGGTCCTTACTATACTTAGTTTTAAGGACACGACTTGAATAAATAAAGTACAGCTGCCCAGCCCCTCACGATATCTGTAGGTCCCCCACCTGTGGATTCAATCAACCACAGATCAAAAATATTTTTTAAAAATTCCAGAAAGTTCCAAAAAGCAAAAGTTGAATTTGTCACAAGCTGGCAACTATTTCTACAGCATTTTCATTGAGTGTAGAACTATTTATACAGCATTTACTTTGTATTAGGTATTATAAGTAATCTAGAGATGCCTTAGAGTATACGGGAGGATGTGTATGGGTTATATGCAAATACCACAGTATTTCATATAAGAGACTTCAGTATTGACAGATTTTGGTATCCGAGGGGGATCTGAAACCAAGCCCCCGCAGATGCTGAGGGAAAACTGTAGTTCTCACAGTAATCTTGTGAAATCAGTACTCTTGTGGTGCCCGTTTTCCAGATGAGGCACGTTGAACACAAAGAGATGGAATGACCTCCTCAAAGTCATACAGAGGCTGAGCCAGGCATTTGAAGCTAGAGCCAGGGTTCTTAACCATTCCCCTTTAGTGTCTCCATATTTGCATAAAATCTCTTAATTATAACCAAAAGCTACTGCACCAAGGCCAAGCCCCACCCTTCAAAATTCTAACCCTCTGTCTCCCCAGGGGCTTCCTGAGCCACCCAGGGCCACTATCTGGGCCCCCTTTTATGCAGACGAGCACCCTGGGCTTTTTAATAGGGGAGCCCTGAGAGGGGCAACCAGCTCTTCCCTGCTCCTGGCTGCCTGGGGGAAGAGGGGAGCAGGAAGAGGCTTGGGTTCTGGGGAGCTGGACAGAGGCCTCTGCAATTTCCTAAAACAGGCAGCTGTGGGGTCTGGAGGATGCAGGATGCCACACACACCTGGGCTTCCTGCCAAGCAGACAAATTTGTGCCTCTGTGCCTCAGTTTCTTCATCTGTCAACCAGACTAATTTGGAATAGTCCCCACGTCCTGGGGTTGTGGAGAAGCTTCTATGAGGAAACTGATAAGTTACCACATGGTGACTGATTGATACACGAATCTATTAAAATTATTAAGATGTCATGGTGTCTATTAAGTTCTACAAAACAGTATCTTGCAGTTCAATAAAACTATATGGAAAATGTTGTTAAATAGGTTGCCACCTGTTACACAGTTAAATATTGCCTTAGTGATACAGCTGTAATATATGGCACGTAAGTTCGTGCCATATTATTGAATTATACAATACATGATTATATAAGGAGATATTTAGGCTAATATAATTATATTGTATAGTACAATTATATGTTTATCTATTACACACTATATAATACACACTTGTATATTAATAGTAAATTTTTCTTTAGAATTGTATATAGAAATTAAACTATTCTGTGTCATTGTGCATTATATCATAAGATATTAATAGTGTTTCTTTTTTGGTCAGTCATCATTATGTGTTTTAGGATCTACCCATGTTGCTCTGTGGACACCTGGTCTGTGGCTGTGGGGGCTTTTCAGGCCTCCCTGGTGACTGTCCCCTTCTGTCTACTGTCTAGCTCCCCCAAAATAACGTTGCAGTGAACATCCTTGTGTATGTCCCCCAGTGGAACGTCTCAGTGTGCACATCCAGGAACTAATTGCTAGGTCATAGCTCCACACAGACACTTAATCTGACTATGTGGTGCCAAGTGGCCCTCAGAGTGGCTGTCCGCTATCAGCACATGAGGGGTTCCTAGGTCCCTCCAGCCCCGACCTCCACTTGGCATCTTCCAACTTCTAATTTTTGCCAGATCAAGAGGATGACTCACTGTTGTTTCAACTTGCACTTACCTGATCTCTTACCAGTAATTTCTAGCATTTTCTCAGGTGCTGGTTAGAGTTTTGGAGCTCATCAACACCTGATCATCCTCTTTGCCCATTTTCCTATCTCAGTTGCTGTCTTTTTTTCCTTGCTGACTTGTAGTTGTTCCTTTTACATTCCAGAGATTAATTTCCCCTTGATGTTAGACATGTTAAATACAGTTTTTCCTCTCTGTCATCTGGTATTTGTTCCATGGCGGCCTCATCAAAAGATATCTTTATTTGGATGTTACCAGATGCATCCTTTTTCTGACTTATGAGTTTTTATGATTTGCTTCAGAAGCCTTTCCTTTGTGTTTGTAGGTGTTATTGTTGGCATTAACCATCCCCCATACCAGTGCCAGAGCCTTTTCCCATCTCCCTCCCTCAGGCTTCCCTGAGACCCAGGGGCCTGGAGACCCTCTCCCACTACAAGCTCAGCTCAGTCACAGCCGTTACATCACCTCCTGTGATGCAGGTGCTGAGGAGATAGGCTGAGAGGCTGACAGACAGTACATCACAGAGAGCGCCCTGGAGACTAGAGGAGAGAGAAGAGGAAAGGCAGGAGGAGGAAAGATGGAGAGAGAGGGTCGGAAACTCATAAGGCATGTCATTAATGGAAAAGTTAGAGAGAATGGGCTTGGTGCTTGTCTAAATGTTCTGGTCTGAAAAAAACATCCGTGGTGACTTCTTTCCGTGAAAAGAGAGAAGCAAAAATACACTTCTAAGAGAGCTTTAGTTAAACTGACTCACTTACTAGGTGTGGCAGAATCATACCAAGTACTGTGACCATTTATTCCACTCCTGGGTAGCTACCCTACAAAGCTACACACCATAGCATTCACCAACACACAGGTGCGAGAATGATCACAGCAGCGTGATTCATAGCAGCCCGAAACTGGAAACAACTCAAATGTCCATCATGGGAAAATCGATCAAAAAGCCATGGAATACTCACATGACGGAAAACTAGACAGCAACCAAAGGAATAAGCTACAACTAAACAGAATAACGTGGAAGAATCACAAAGACATTATGGTGAATGAAAGAAGCCAGACATGACAGATGATTCCATTTAAATACAGCTCAAAACTGGGCAAAACCACTCTGCTAGAAATCAGGCTAGTGGTGACTTACTAGGAAGGGGCACAAGGGGGCTTTGCGGGGGATAAGAACATTCTGTTTCTTGATGTGTGTGAATATCGCATGGACATGTTCAGTTTGTAACCATCATCAATCTAAACACTTATGATTTGACTCTTTTGTGCACTTCAACTTAAAAATATGTCAAGCATGACACATTTAGTTAAAAGAAAACAGCGCACATACTCAAAAGAGAAGTCTATGTTTCTATTAGCACGTTTTTATGTACTTAAACGCACAGCCAACAGATGGGATGAAACCCAACCATGTCTGATATTGGCCACCCCTCCCTAAGAGGGACAGTGGGATGGGGAGGGGACTTCCAGAGGGCTTATTTCCATCTGCAATGTTTCCATAATAACAGACCAACTGGGACATTGTGTTGTACACCAGAAATTGACACATTGTAACTGACTATACTTCAACTTAAAAAATAAATAAACAAATAATTTTTTAAAGATAAGTCTTTAAGATTGTGTGAGGATTAACCAAGTCAATATCTTAAAAGCCCTTAGAACAGTGTGTGGTGCACAGAAAGCACTACAGAAAGGTTTGTTACAATGAAAGTAATAAAGTGAAAATGTTTTCTGCGGTACAAGTGGTATTAAAACTAAGCTAGAAATGAAAGAAACACAAGAAGAAATATACAAAAGACTAGGTCTTGTGACTTTCCAATTAAATCTTTGTGTATTATTATTTATAACTATGTCCTCACAGAAGTTTGGACTTTTCTTTTGAGTGTGTTTACATAAATGTGTAATATTAGGCATACTTTTTGCAAAAACCTGCTTTTATTTAAGTATGAGTGACAGAATCGAGAATCATGGGTCTAGAGACAGAAAGATGGGGGAGATAGAGAGCCCGCTGGCTGATTGGGGGTGGGGGCCGGCAGCACCGGAAACCTCAGCCTGAAGGGATCCCCGTGTGGGGGGAGGGGGACCTTTGGTCTCTCCCCAGCCTCTTCCTTCCCCCTGGCCTGGGGCTGGGTGGGGAGGGGCAGTTCCTCTTTCCTTCCCAAGCGCCGAGGAGGCCCCAGCTCCCAAGGGGCTTTGAAGCTGGAGCATTGGTGAAGGGGGAGGAGCTGAGCCACACTCTTGCAAGACCACCTCCCTGCCAACCCCGAGGAAGCATGAACCGGAAAGACAGCAAGAGGTGAGAGGACCCTCCCCAAAGGACCAGGAGCGTCCCAAGCCCCGGGGTCTCTGGCTGCATGGGAAGATTCGGGAGGTACTAACCAGCGCGTAAGGTGTCCCGCTACACTCTGGAGCAGCAGCAGGAGCAGGGGGTGCCAGGTGGAAAGATGCTTCAAGGGGTCCAGAGCCAGCTAGGGCTGGGGCTGTCTGCATGGGGTGTGTCTTATCCTCACTATCTCTGGAGCTGGAGCTGCTCTGATCCCATTCTCCTTGTGCCGCCGCCCCTCCCCCCGCCTCATCCTAACTCTCTAGGCTGGGGGTCTCTGTCCTTCCTGGGGTCTTCTTGGTTCCCTATCACAGTCACTTGCTGTCCCCTGGACTGGAAACTCCAGACTCCTGCAGGGCCCTGCCGGGCGGGGGGGGGAGTGACGCAGGGCAAGGCGGCTCCCTTGCCTCTTAAACTACTCCTGGGCAGACAGTCCTCAGGTAAGATCCTAGCAGCTGGCTATGCCAGCATGTTCTAGAATAGACTTCCCTATCACCTGCACAAGCTTGCCCTCCTGTCCTCACAGGGGCGATGGTGGCTGGATTCCTAGCCTGGGTAGCCCTTCTGCCCACCCCCAGGATCTCTGATGAGCAAAGGGTCCCATACCCATCATGTCCAGGAGTTTAGCGGTGGAGACCAGATTGCCTCATTTTCCAGCTGTGTAACCATAGTTAAGTCACTTAACTGCTCTGTGCCTCAGTTTCTTCTGTCAATAGAATGATCATAATGCCTCCTTGGTGGAGCACATAAGCCCCAGTGGTACAGTCTAGACCTCTACTTCTCAAGTGTAAGCAAACATCAGAACCACTTGGAGGGCTTGTAAAACACAGGCTGCTGGGCTCACCTCCAACGTTTCTGATTCTGTAGGTCTGGGGTGGAGCCTGAGATTTTGTATTTATATCAGGTTCCCGGGTGATGCCCTTGGTATTGGTTGGAGACCCTGCTTTGAGAACCACTGATCTAGATAGGTGCTCAGCCGTCTGCTCGGTAAACAGTCAGCACTCAATGAATGCCAGCTGTTACTTGGCAACATTCAATACTGATTTACTGAAAAAAAAATAGAAATAAGAATACTGATTTACTGAGCTTTTAGGATGTGCCAGGGACATGGCAATGCCTTGTTATGAGGGCTCACCCCCATGCCCCCGGCCTGGCTTCTAGTTCACTCTATCACATTCTCTCTCTGCATCTCAAGTTTAACTTTCCCACCTCTGGCCACTTAACAGCCTAAGCAAATTAAATCCCTTATTTAGCACTTTTGAAGAGCAAGGCATTGAATGTTCATAATAAATTCCTGGGGAAGGTCCAAGGATGACTCTCACTTTTCATACAAGGAAACTGAGGTCCAGAGAAATGTTGTGATTAACACAAAGTCACACAGCCAGCATAAGTGTCTCCAACTTGGTTTTGTCTGACTCTTGTGGAAGCCAGGGCCATCCTGCCTGGATTTTGCTCCCTCCTTCCTCCACCATCCCTGTCTTTCTATTACTCTCTTTCCCCAACTGGAACAGGAGCCTCGGGCAGGCACAAGACAGAGTAAGGTTTATTTTTAAACTTTCCTTGAAGCTGCCTCAGCCCCAGGGACCCGCCCAGCTCTGAAGAGCCTTGCTGAGGCCACGTTACACCTGTATCTTCTCTCCAGGCTCCAAATCTAGAGACCAGGCTTACGGCTGAGACACGGGTCCTGCTGAAAGGCTGACTTGTGGGAAGGGTCTGTCAGCTTAGTCAGGGTCGAGGTGGGGGAGGGAGAGATGGAATCTCAGGGGTCTGCTTCTCTCATGAGGGCTGGGGGAGGAGGGGGTGGGTGTTGGAGAGAAAAGGGTATACTGAGGAGTGTTCCTGAAGGCAGAACCACCCATGATTCCTCCTGGGGAGGACAGGAATGATTCTGGGGGGTCTTCTCCCATGATTCCCTTGGAGGTCAGGAGTAACCCGTCTCCCATGATGCCCTGGGACCATACTGTCAAGGGGACTTGGAGGGCAATGCCTGGAGGAGGGAGTTCTTATGATTCCCTGAAGGAACCTTAGTAGTCCTGGGGATCATCTCCCATGATTCCCTGGTTGGGGGGGCTGTCAATTAGGTATTGAGGGTACTGTCCCCTGATTCCCTGAAGAGGGCAGGAGTAACCCTTGGAGTTTATTTGTAGGAGAAGGCTGGAATGATCTGGAATATTCCTGGGGTTTTCTCTCCTGAATCCAGGGTAGGTCAGGACTAACCCTAGGACCTTATCTTTAGGAAGTTTCTCCCACGAAGCTTTGGGGCTTTGGGGTCAAGAATTCTGGGGGTCTGCCCAAAGGAAGGGGCTCCCATGATTCCCTGGGGGATGTGCCCACAGGAAGTCCCACCAGGAATGCCCAGAGAAGATAGGGGGGCGGGGACGGGCCCGACAAGCCCGCCGCCACAAGACATGCCCCAGCCCCCGGGAAATCAGCAAGGTCATGTCTTCCATGGCTCTGGGCGTGCTGAATGAGGGCGGCTGCAGCGAAGATGAGCTGCTGGAGAAATGCATTCAGTCCTTTGGTGAGTGTCCTCCTCCTTGGCTTGTCTCTGCAATGGTAAGGTTGGGCCAAGTACCCACCTCCCTTCACGCCTCAATTTGGGAGGAGGGGTATAACATGGGAGCAGGAGTGTGTGGAATGAATCTCAATCACTACATTAGGAATAAGAGAGACACCTGCATTTCTTTTTCCTGAGCTGTGGGTGGGGGAGGAAGTCTGATGCTATTTCCATCTTCAATATGACTTGCCAGGCATAATGCTGGTCCATGCACACACACTATTCACAAGGAAACTGAGGCACAAGGAGTCAATTTGTTGGCCCAAATTCATGTAGGGAGTCACTGGTAGGGCTGGGGTTTGAACGAGGCGGTCCACCTGGCTCTGAAAGCTATGCAGTCCATTGCTTAGGGGCTATTCTGACACACAGTCCCCTTCCCCTGCCCTCAGACTCAGCTGGCAGCCTGCGCCGCGGGGACCACATTCTCAACATGGTACTGGCCATGCACAGCTGGGTACTGCCTTCTGCCCATCTTGCTGCCCGTCTGCTGACCTTATATCCTCCTGGGGCCATAAGCAGGGGGTAGAGGGTGGAAGGCAGAGATGTGGGAGCCTGGGAGATGGGGACAGAGGAGCCAACAGGTCTGGGATGCTGGATAACAGAGCCTTGACCAGAACTCAAGTACCAGGAGGCCACAGGGAACACGCAGGAGCTGAGGAGGCTGCAGATCTGTCACCTGGTCCGGTAAGGCTGGGTCAAAACCTCCACTCCATGACCCAAGAGCCTCACCCTACTGCCCCCTGAAAAACACTTCCAAGAGACTCCAGCCCAGTTCCCTACAGATCCACCCAGCCATGCTCCCCCAAATCCTACTTCTCATACCCACCTGGGTTGGTTCCTAAAACCCTCCCAGTCTCCTTAGAACCCTCACCTCTTAGAGACCCCTGACCAGATCCTCTGGGCTCTCTTCCAGCTGGTACGCTGAGACCTCCAGCTCTGATCCCTAAGACCCTCACCTCCCATATACCTCAGCTTAGCTTCTAAGACCCCTCACCCTGTTCCCCACAAATCTCACCCACAAAGGCCCCCAATCTAATTCCTGAGACCACCCACTAGCCAGCTCCCTAGGCACCCCACTTCCAAGAGACCCCCCAGTCTATCTTCCACAGATCCTTCAGCCTGTGTTAAGAGGCCCCCAATCCTACTCCCAGAGACTCTCCCTTCTGTCTGAACTCTGGACTTTCAAAGAAACCCCTGCTCACAGTTAGAGACCCCCTTGCCCAGCACCTAGAGACCCCTCAGCCCAAGAGACCCCTTTCAGAGAACTGCCACACCCCCAGCCTCATCCCATCATCTCTAAACCTCCGTCAGGTACTGGCTGACCCAACACCCTGAGATGGTGCACCAGGAGCCCCAGTTAGAAGAGGTCATAGGTCGCTTCTGGGCCACCGTGGAGCAGGAGGGCAACTCAGCCCAGAGGATCCTGGGAGACTTCTCTAACCTGTGAGTCAGCCCCTTCTCCTTCCCTCCCCACCCCAACTCTGCCTCCTCCCTCCACACCCCCACACCCTCCACCCTGAGACCCTCCAATACTCTGCCCCTCCTGACCCCTAGGCTGAGCCCGGGTGGCCCTGGCCCCCCACCCCCTGTGAGCAGCCCAGGCCTGGGCAAAAAGCGCAAAGTGTCCTTGCTTTTTGATCACCTGGAGACGGGAGAACTGGCAGAGCACCTAACTTACCTGGAGTTCCGGTCCTTCCAGGCTATCACAGTAAGGACCCCTCTCCTCTACACTGGGGAGGGCTTGGGGTGGGATGGAACCTGGCTGGGGCCAGGCCAGACTGAGAGGACCCTGGCCTGGGCAGGGATCACAAACTCTCAGACTTGGGTGCTAGAGGGTCCAGGAAAAAGAGTTAGGCTGGCTGAGCACAGAGCCCCTGGGTTCAAATCCCATCAGCTCCTTCCTATCTGTGTAACTTTGAACTAGTTTCTCAACCTCTCTGGGGCGCAGTTTTCTCGTTTGTAAAAAGGAGGTCAAATACTTCATTGGGTGGTTGGGGGAATTAAATTAATATGTCCACATAAAAATCCTTATCACAGTGCCTGGCACATAGTAGTGCTCAAAATATTTTATTATTACTCATTTATTTGAGAAGCATTGAAATTCACTGTACCTCAGCTCTGTTATCTGCAAAAAGGAGACTTAGCTCCTGCCTCATAGGATCAGTGCCTGGTCCAGAGTAAATATGATCTAGTTGCACCATTTGAAACTGTGATATTTTGCCATATTTCCCAAATCTTAATTTCAAATGCTTCAACCTATATATGTGTTTAGCAATTGCCATCTTGTCATAATTATTTTGAGGGTTGTTAGGGATCTGGTTCCTTTTTTTTTTTAACATTTTTATTGATTTAAATCATTTTACAATGTGTCAAATTCCAGTGTTCAGCACAATTTTTCAGTCATACATGGACATATACACACTCATTGTCACATTTTTTTCTCTGTGAGCTACCATAACATTTTGTGTATATCTCCCTGTGCTATACAGTATAATCTTGTTTATCTATTCTACAATTTTGAAATCCTGGTCTATCCCTTCCCACCCTCCACCCCCCATCTGGTTCCTTAATGTGAAAATTTCCCAATTGTACAGACACACACAGAGTGCAGTGGATGTGGGTATGGAACGTTGACCCCTTAAGCAGAACAAATAGAAGTTGGTTTCTTTTCCTCTTCACTGCCCCTCCCTTTGCTGACTGTATACAGTCAGGAATACAGCCAAGAGCAACAGACTGGGTTCCTACCCTGACTCAGGCCTGTGTGACCCTGGGGAAATTATTTGGCCTCTCTGTGCTTCAACGACCTCATTTCTAAAATGGTAATAATATAGTATTCACTTCATAGAGTTGTTGTCAGGATATAACAAAGGGCTCAGACTAGTGCCTGGGTTTCTTCAAACATTTCTCCTCAGATGGGAGAGGGACATGGTGACCTCAGAGACATGTGACAGCCAGGCTAAGACGTCAGAGGTCTTGACTGCTTGGGAGATGGGCGTGTGGGGGCCAGGACCTGAGCGCCACGACCCACCCTAAAGCCCACCTCACCCCCAGCCCCAGGACCTGCGGGGCTACGTTTTGCAGGGTTCCGTGCGGGGTTGTCCGGCCCTGGAGGGTTCCGTAGGTCTCAGCAACAGCGTGTCCCGCTGGGTGCAGGTCATGGTGCTGAGCCGTCCCGGGCCCGCACAGCGCGCTCAGGTGCTGGAGAAGTTCATCCACGTGGCACAGGTGAGACGTGCCCCAAAGCTCGGCTCGCTCTCTGAGCACTCGCCGAACCAGGCTGGGAGAAGCTGACCTTGACCCTGCGCTCTCCCGCCGCGCCTGATCTCCCCGGAGGTGACGTCACTACCTCCTGGCCCCGCCCTCTCGCATCACGTCTCACCTGCCCGGGTCCCCGAGGACTCAGTCCGGCGGTTCTAACCAGGGACTGTGACGGCACTTCTTCCATGGCCTTATTTCATCCCGTCAAAACCGCCCTGGTCCCACCCCTTGGTCCTAGACGACTTTCCTCCTGGCCTCGTACCTAAGCCCCGTGCCCGAATATTCCATCTCCAGGGCAGTAAAGGAAGAGGCCCTTTCATACCCTCACCTTTGAGTTATGCCCTACCGGGGTCCCTAGGCCCCAGCCGTCCCTATCACTTCAGGTCTCCTCTGACCCCTCCCCTCCCTTCCCCCTCTCTTCGAGATACATTCCCCGCCTTCTGGAGAAAAGGGAAGCCCTCCTTCCCCCAGAGTGGCCACGCCCCTTAGCGTACTTCCTCACAGACCACGCCCTTCCTTTGGCGCTTCCCCTGCCCGGCCCTTTAGACCAGGGGCTTCTGGCGTCTGCCCGGAGGCTCCTCGATCTGAGCATCTTCCACTCTTCTCTGGCCCCACCTTTTCCCCTCAGCGACCTCCACCCTTCAAACTTGAGAAAAGGGAAAGTGAGGCTATCGCCCCTGATGACAGCCTGACCCCACAACTGTCTCTCATGTACGCCTGACCCCTCCATATCACTCTGGACCCATTCACCTCCGCCCTGTTCCCAACTCCTGCCCAGAGCCCAAGCCTTCTTGTCTCCCTTACCTGTCTGACTCTCAGAGCAGGGACACCCCCACCTCACCCCCCACCCAGGTGCCCGACACACTGATATCTGTCTGAATCCTCCACAGCTGTCTAGCACAGAACTGTCGGTCCCCAAACCTGTCCAACTCCCCATACTGACCTGACTCCCCCTACTGTTATCCAACCTCTCATTAGTCTATCACCTGCCTGACCCCCCATGAAATGCCCACATACCTGCCTTTAGCCCACTCCTGCCTGATACATCTCACCTGTCGAATGCCTACATTGGGCCACCCACACACATGCCTGAGACCCCAACTCAACAGGGATGCTGTCATTTGAATCTCCACATTGCCTGTCCTCCACATGATACCCACCACCTCTGCATCACCCTCCCTTTCTAGAGGCTCCACCAGCTGCAGAATTTCAACACGCTGATGGCAGTCACTGGGGGCCTATGTCACAGTGCCATCTCCAGACTCAAGGACTCCCACGCCCACCTGAGCCCTGACAGCACCAAGGTGAAACCCCACTGCCCTCCCCAAAGTTCCAGCAGTCAATTATCCTGAACCTCCACACGTCTCCCCAATCCCCTCCACCCTGGAGCCACCTGGAGACCTGGCTCCTCCAAATCTGACATGGTGCTGACCCCTCTATGCTCAGTATCTGATCCTGAGCAGGAGTGGAGGGAGACAGGAGAGATGCTAGCAGAGAACTTGCAGTCTAGGTGGGGAGTGAGATGATGCCCCCAGGGGCACTGATATTTGGGCCACCCATAGGAGGAGCATGGATTGGAGGTGTCCTGAAAGGGTCTAGGGAGAGTAAGTCATTCAGGAGTCTGGTGTGCAGCTGAGGTCAGGATGTGGCAGGATATTAGGCTGAAGATACCCAGGGGAAATCCTGTTGAGCCTTCTGCAAGCTTAACTAAGGTGTCTGGGCTTTATCCAGAGGGCAATGGGGAAAGCTTTGGGAATGATGACAGCACCCCTGATCAGACTGGGGTTTTTGAAAAAGTCACTCTAGCCTGGGAAATGGAACATAGTGAGGCCTTTCTCAGATGGGGGCCCAAGAAGAAGAGCAGTCTAGGGAGATACTGAAGCCAACGTGGGACTCTGGAGGGGATCTGGGAGGTATCCAAAATGCCATTGGGTCCTGGGGGTCTGGAGCCCACACAGGAGGCTGCTGGGATGCTCCCCTGCAGAGAGCTAGGGGGAAAACTGGCTTCCCCATTACATGACCCCTTACTGTAACACGCCTCTCCCTCACAGGCCCTGCTCGAGCTGACTGAGCTCCTTGCCTCCCGCAACAACTACGCCTGTTACCGCCGCGCCTGGGCTGGCTGCACGGGCTTCCGGCTGCCTCTACTGGGTGTGCACCTCAAGGACCTGGTGTCCCTGCACGAGGCACATCCAGACAGGTTGCCTGACGGCCGCCTGCACCTTCTGAAGCTCAACAGCCTCTACTTGCGGCTGCAGGAGCTGGCAGCCCTCCAGAGGCAACAGCCCCCCTGCAGTGCCAACGAGGACCTGCTGCATCTGCTAACGGTGAGCTGCCCTGAGCTGCCCAGGCTGGGTTCCCAGAGCCTGAGCCTGCAGGATACTGAGATTTAGGGTCCTGGGTGGGTGAGGATCTGCAGGGCCAGGACAGAGTAGTAGAACAGCACTGGAATGCATGGGCTTTGAAGCTAGAACTTCTAACTGGGTCGGGTTTTTTTTTTCCCTTTGTGGCCTTGGGCAAGTCACTTAACTCGTCAGCCTCAGTTTCCTTAACTGCAAAATGGGAAGACTAAAAGGACCCACTTCAGAGAGTGGTTGAAAAGAATCAATGATATAATATAAACATAACTCATATAATTCATATAAAGTACCTAAAATAGTATCTGGAACACAGTGAGCTCTATATAAGTGATGCATTTTCCCCCACTTCCCCAGCAGCTCAAGTATCCATTGATCTGAGCTCCAGAATTGCTTCTAGCTTTTGCACTCCTGAACTCAAAGTTCTGAGCTTCTTATGCGACTAGTCCAAAATTCCAACCTTTAACATATCCAGGAATCTAAGCAAAAAGCTAATAACAATTATTGATCACTTACTATGTGCTAGGCATCATGTTAAACAGTCCCCACAGAGCACTTCATTCCATCCTCGCAGCCCTATGACGAGGGGAACCTTATCATACCCATTCTACAGATTGGAAAACTGAGGCCCACGGAGGTAAGGTCACTTGCCCTCTGTCCCACAGCAGGCCAGTTTCAGACCATGAATGTTAGCCTGTGTTAACCACCACACTATGTTCTAAGACTAGGAGTGTGGAATTCTGGCTGTATTTTATTTTACATATTTTTTTTCCATTCTGAGGAGCTATAAATTGAGAGACACTGGATTCTGCAGTCCATGTAATCTAAGATTGAAAAGCTGATTTTTCAGATCCTAAAACAGGATCAGTTGCAAACTGAAAATGTGGGGCTCCTTGTTTGAAAGTTAGAATTTCAAAATGGTGACAGCAGGGCTATAAATGAAGTCAGGGCCCTTCTAAGTGTGGGGCCTGCCCATGAAGCTGACCCTGCCCTGAGCTGATTGATGCCTAAGGTGCTTGGCCTTGCTGACTCTAAATGGCCATCAGCCCAAATATTTACTGAGCACTTGCTGGGAGCCAGGCACTCCTTGAGGCACTTAGGCTCACAGCAGTGAGCACATCAGAAAAAAATTGCTGCTCTCGTGGGGCTGACTTCCTAGTGGGGCAGATAGCCAATGAACAAAGAAAAGTAAATCATATGGTCTTTTAGATAATAAGTGCTGTAGGGAAAATTAAAGCAGAAACAGGCATAGAAAGTGACGGGGGGGTGCGATTTTAAATAGGATCAAAAAAGCCTCAGTGAGAAGACGTCATTTCTGGACTAGGGGACCAGAAGTGTGGAGAATGAATGGGGGCTCAGTGGGAAAGAGGACCCTAGGAGTCCCAGAGAAGAAGGGCTTTGGGAGGAGGATCAGAGTGGGGGTCCAGGCAGGCACAGGCTGTAGGTAGGAGGATGGAGCCGGGATGTAACACCCCGCCTGCCCGCAGCTTTCCCTGGATCTCTTCTACACAGAGGACAAGATCTATGAGCTTTCTTACCTCCGGGAGCCCCGCTATCCCAAGAGTCTGGTGAGAGCCCACCCCTGACCTGAGGCCTCCAGCCCAAGCCTCTGCACTGACTAACTGTGCCCCTGTGTCCCTGCCCCAGCCACACTCCCCCTTCAAGACGCACCTGGTGGTGGAGTGGGCCCCTGGCGTGACACCCAAGCCCGACAGGGTCACTCTAGGTCAGCATGTGGAGAAGCTGGTGGAGGTGAGGAGGAGCCCTGGGCCCGAGGAGGGATCTCAGACAGACCGTGGGGACCCTGACTTGGCCTTACTTTCCCCTCCCATGCTCCTCCGAAGTCCGTGTTCAAGAATTATGACCCTGAAGGCCGAGGCACCATCTCTCAGGAGGACTTTGAGCGACTCTCAGGCAACTTCCCCTTCGCCTGCCACGGGCTTCACCCACCCCTCCGCCAGGGGTAGGTGCCCCTGACTCCTGGGTTCCCTTAAGACAAGGCACTGGGGTTGCCGGGAGAAAGAGGCCAGTCCTGCTGAAGCTCCATCTCTCCCCCAGGAGTGGCTCCTTCAGCCGAGAGGAGGTGACAGAATACCTGCTCCAGGCCAGCGCCATCTGCTCCAAGCTGGGCCTGGACTTCCTGCATGCCTTCCAGGAGGTCAACTTCCGCAAGCCCGCCTTCTGTGTCAGCTGCAGTGGCTTCGTGAGCACTCTGCCTGCCATCACCCCAAAGGCCCATCTCCCCCTGCGGCGTCCTAACTCCTCACAGCCTGGGCTCAGAAAACCAGCCCTGCCCTGGAGTGCTTGTAGTCCCCAAGTCCCAGAAAATTCCCAAATCCCAGAAGATTCTCCAGTCTCAAAGAATGCCCCCATTTCACAGGAACCCTAAACACTGGCTATTCCCTACATCCTGGATAATTCTGAAGTCCAGATAATGCCCAAAGCCCAGACAGTCTCCATCCTGGATAAGTGCCAAACCCTGGATAATCTGCAAACCTGGGTACATTATCTCCAGACAGAATCAATCTCCAAGTCTCTAGACCCCAGATAATTCAGACCCTGAATAATTTCCAAATTCAAGGTCTCCTCAAACTCTAGAATAGAATAATGGACAAATCTCTCAATGTCAAACCAAGACTAATTCACAAACCTTGGATTACTTCCCAGACTCACTTTTTCATTCACTGAATATAGACTGAGCATCTCCTGTGGGCCAGGCACAGTTCTAGGCTCGGGGAGCACAGCAGGAAACAGAAAATGTAATCCCTGCCCATAGGATGTATGTTTTATTTATTCCAATCTTACCCATTTCTAATATTGTAGATGACTTCTCCAAACTTGAGATAACCTCCAAATTCCTCTAATCTCCCAGATCCCACATAAGCCTCTAGCCTTGACAATTTCCAAAACCTGGATGGTTTCCACACTTTCAGACAGCCTGCAACCCCACCCCAACCCCAGCCCCACCTCCTCCAGCCTAGGTAACCTATTCTGCTGTCTCTTCCCAGCTCTGGGGTGTCACCAAGCAAGGCTACCGCTGTCAGGGTAAGTGGGGCATTGTTGGGGGAGGTGGGGAATCCAGGACCCACAAGCTGGAAGAACAGGGGTCACAGACTGGGTCTCCGGCACTGACTGCAGAATTTTCCCCAGACTGTGGGCTGTGTTGCCACAAACACTGCAGAGACCAAGTGAAGGTGAAGTGTAAGAAGAGGCCAGGGGCCAAGGGCGATGGGAGCCCCCCAGGAGCACCTGTCCCACCCACACCAGTGCCCCACGCCAGCTGTGGTAAGACCCAGGGTATAGCAGTCCTGGGAAGGGGGCCTGTTGGATGGAGGTTAATTTCAAAGTCATGAGGCCCTTTCTCTCATCCCCACATCCCCACAAACAGGCTCTGAGGACAATCTCTCCTACACACTATCTCTGGAACCTGGGACCACATGCAACGTTCGCCATGACTGGACCCAGATCAAGCACCCCCATCCTTCCTGAGAACCAGAGACGGTGAGGAGGAACTGCCCCCTACCCTCAAATGAATACAGGGAGACCAGCCCACTTGCCTGGGGGAACCCAGACGGATTTGAGGCAGCACAGGAAAGTTAAAATATGCAAGAGTCTTCAGTTGCTTGGGTCAGACAGTATAGATACTGGTTCATTTTTAATGTTGATGGAAAAATAGAAATTTCAGTATGTTGGGGGGAAGATGTAACCAGTAGTAGAACAAAAAAGGGATTTTAGGAAGAAAAAAAGAAAACTACAAGATGGCAAGAATTAGGCCAAATGTATCAGGAATATAGTAAATAGTGGAATAAACTCCGCTATTCAAAAGTGGGGACTCTCAGATTGAGTTTAAAAAAATCCACAGGGGACATTCATCCATCCACTTTAACAAGTCTGGGTGAAACTCCTGGACATCGGACACTCCCCGCATCCCCCAATGTCTTCTTCCTTCCAGGTTCCCCTCCCAGCAACGGCCCCACCACCCACCCAGTCCTCCAAGCTGAATTCCTAGATGTCGCCTTGGTCTCCTCCTCGCCCCCACTCCCTCCCCCAGAGTCACTTTCAAGTCCTTTTATTTGGCCTCCAGCAGAACCCCCAAAGGCACTGCCTTCTTCCCATCCACGCTGTCTTTGCTGAAGCACCCATCATCTCTTACTCCAAAAGAGTTATTTTCTTCTTTTGCATCAGAGTGGCTATTAATCCTACTCCCTTTTCTTGCACTTACTATCTGTGCAGCTCCATGTTGGATACATTTACTTAGGCATCACCTCACCAATTCCTTAAATCTCCATTTTACAGATAAGGAAACAGGCCCAGTGAGGTTAAACTGCTCACCCAAGGGAGCAGAACTCCTAAGTGTTGGAGGCAGGACTCACACCCAGGTCTTCTGTCTGCCTCAAAAAGAGAAGCTCCTGCCCAATATGTTACACTGATGGTCAGCATAGGTCAGGAGCAGGAGGGGACGGGGGTGGGAGGCAGAGTTCCAAATTCTGAGGTTCCAGACAGGAGAGAAGGCTGGATGGACCAGGGAGGGAGCCTGCAGATACCTGTGTAAGATCACATCCCTCCTCCATCACTTCTCCAACCTCCCCTGCCACCACTCACCCCCTCATTCATCCTGCTTCACCTACACTGGCCTCTGATGGCCCCGGATCATGCCAAAAATACTCCTACCTCAGGGCCTTTGCACTGGCCAACCCCTCTACCTGGAAGACTCTCCCTCAGAGGTCCACCTGGCTCTTTGGGACTTAGCTCAAGGGCCACCTTTTCAGTGAGGACTTCCCTGATCACACTTCAAGTTGTAATCCCCCTAGGGTCCCTACCCAGCCTTCCTCCTTTATTTTTCTCTAAAGCCCTTTCCCCATCTGACAAACTATACTTTCTTGTCTGCCTTCCTCAC